GTATTTTTAGTAGAGACGGGGTTTCAGTATGTTGGCCAGGCTGGTCTTGAATTCCTGGTGATCCGCCTGTCTCAGCCTCCCAAAGTGCTGGGATTACAGGCGTGAGCCACTGCGCTCGGCCTTCTTATGTTTTCTATAATCATGGAAAGGTGAAATTCACCTCGAAAATTTCAAAATAAGCATTTGTAATTCCATCACAAACAACCCTAAGCCCGTTAGTACCTATGTTTTTATGGAGAATGTATCGGGGGTACAGAAAAGGTATGAGCAGAGAGCCTGGCCTTTAGATCCTTCAGTCACTCTGGCTAGTGGCTGGGGATGACTAATAAGATGACAGTCCTTAAGCGGAGACCACTGGACACACAAACATTGGACAACCACCTCCATTCGATGTGGAGAGAGTAACAGGGTGTGTTGGAGAGATGCTCATTATTGGGGTGGGGGTGCTGGAGAAGGCACCTACTTCAGAAGGGGCCCCTGATGCATAAATGGCATTTGACAGGAAAAGAAAGGGGCAAGGAGGCGGGGGTGGGGATTCAGTCGCAGGGAACGAAATGAACAAAAGCAGCGAGGTCTGAAAGAAGGAGGAACGGCTGGGCAGTCAGGCCTCGGGAGGAAATGGATGGGGTAGGCGGTGGGGTGCAGGCAGCACATCAGTTCTGGGGCTTTTGACAATATAAATAGAATTTGAAAGGACGCAGCTTGCAAAACGCGCACACAGTTTCTTGTCATTGCCATCCACACGGCCTTTGAAAGTAGAGACGATACCTGAGAGACAAGCTCCCAGGGACGACCGTCATTCATTCATTCATTAATTCCACAGATACTGAGTGCCCGCGACGTGCCTGGCCCTGCAGCACACCTGGGTACCTGCTGGTGACGGACGCAGCCCCTGCCTGTGGACCCGCCTCGGCCTCGCCGCTCACCGCCTTCAGTTCCCGGCGCCCGGGCGTCTCCTGGCAGCGGCTCACCTGGCTCCTTGGCGGGGGCGGGAGTGGGGCGCTGGGGTCCCACACGGCTCCCGCCTAGCTAGCGGCGTTGAGGACGCGGACACCGGCGGTTCCCGAACCGTTGCGGCCGATCCCGCCGGCGTTCCGGGTGGGCAGGAGATGAGAGTGGGGGAGGGGACGAGGAAGGAGAGCATGAACAGCTGGGCTGGGGAGCCAGGAAAGGGGTATCTGGGCCGCCCTCCTCATACCTGAGCCAGTACTTGGTAAACCTCGGTACCTGTACGCCAACGCTCCTACTCTCTCCGAGGTTTTACTATTCCTGATCCAGGGCCTATCTGGTGCCCAGCCTCGTGCTCTGAACAAACAGTAACGCACAAGTGTACTGCACAGACGGTAATTCACTAACATCTCCCGAAGACTTAAGCCTTCCTCAGGTCAGAAGAGGTAAAGGGAAATAGAGGCTAGGAGGGTCACCCAGGTCTCCAACCATAGGCCCTCTGCCCCACAAGCCTGGCTCCCCACACTGGATGACAACCTCCTGCCCAGATCGCGGCTCTGCACGCAGACTTGCCCTCTGCACTCACTCCCTTTACCCTCCTGGCACCCTATCCCTATCCCCATGGCTGTCTCTTACTCCACCTTGTATTCCTGCTTGGCCCGGTTACAGTTTTACACTTGTTTGTTTGATGATTGTGTTAGTGTCTACCTTCTTATTCACTTTATGTATTCCTTTTTGTAAATTGTCTTACCCCCATGAGGGCCGGGATTTTTATCCCTTTCAATAACTGTTTTACTATCAGTGCCCACAACAGTGTGGTGGACATAGGAAGTGTTCAACAAATTTGTGTTGAATGATTGCCCTCCCATTGATTGTAAGCCCCACACAGGCAGCAACTGTAGTTTTAAATTACTTTTTAACTACAAGTGCTTGGCACCCGGTGGCATTTAATACACATTTGTTGAATGAGTATACAAATATACTGCTTACTTTATCTTTACCCTTTTATTTGCCCTCACCTCATCACCCCAATTTGTAGGATAAAAATGTGCATTTCTGAGGATTCCTACTTCCAGCCTTCCTCCTCACCCCTTGTAACCATTCCCTCATTCCCTTGATGCCCCCCACCCCATCCCTCTCTTCTTCACAGTCATGTTTTTACTCTTACTTCCCCTTCGCCCTCCATTACATCTTAGAAAGCTTCCTATCCTCTCTAGTTTGGAACATTCTCAAGCATTATGTTTTTATAGATAAGAGAATTCCAGCTAAGCTACATTGGATCCAAAACAGCTTTCCATGAATCACCCATGACTCTGTTTTTTGGTTTTCTGTTGCTTTCCTTGAGGAGGACTGAGGATCCTGTACCACCTCTTAAACTGAAATCATGATCATTGTTCATAATTTTTCAGCAAATACGTGTGGGACATGTTTTATGTTCCAGACACTGTGCTAGATGTTGGGACAAGACAGGCAAAGTCTGAGCCCTCCAGACACGATTATTCTATTTTGTGTGTGACACAAAATAGAATAATCATGGGAAATGATGAGAAATGTCCTGGCTTGGACCCAGTTATTTCTAATACAAGAAACGAAGAGAATGAGACAGGATCTGATTCTTCTGCTCATTGTAACAAGCTTTAGCGTAGGCGTAGGTTGATAATGGATGTAGGCATCAGGTTATAATGCCTTGCCCGTTCACATTTATCTTGTTTAGTTTTTACACATGACTCTGTTCATCGGGAATGCAGGGCAGAAATTCTTTTGCAGAAGCTGGAACTAAGGGTTCAGGAAAGGTCAATTGACTTGCCTAAATTCGATGAGACTCCTGCTCTATTCTTACTCCGAGAGGCCTAAGTTAAATGCTTAAAATCCTCTTCACTGATGGCTCTTTAGGATAGGAGTCAGTTTCAAGTCTTCAGTGTAATGGTTTTTTTAATGCTTCTCAAAGGGAGATATCAGAGACTTTCCTGAATCAGAACCACCTAAGATGTATTATAAAAATAATGCTCTTGATGCCGTCCTCTGACTTACCCAATTAGATTCCCTGTGAGTCCTGGGAACTTGCATCTTAAACTCCCAGAGTGATTTTTCTTCATGTAAGTTTAAGAACTACTAGGAGAGTTTGAATGGAGAGCCTCAGCTTTGATGCAGGGTTGACATTTGTCTTTGGGGGCAGATTTCATCGAGCATCTTGAAGAGTAACCACATGTCCTTGAACAGATGGGAATGCAACAGCCTTCTGGCCGGAACTTGTCTCTTTTTTATGCAAGTGTTTTTTGGAATTTGGGGGTTCAGTTGAGCAGGTGCTCAGCTGCTGGTAACTACTCTCAGTTAAAGATCTTTTGGCTCTTTCCCCTACATGCTATTTGTCCATCTCGTTTCCCACTACAGAGTCAGGTATTTGCCCCGCCGGCCACGGTGAGGCGCGCGCGGCGTGTGCTGCCCGCTTATCTCTTTCTTCCCTAGTCCGCCTTCGCGCCCTTAAGGAGACAGTCCCTGGGAATTTCTGCCTCTGGTCTACCGTTGCTGCTCTCTTCTCGCGAGAACTGCTCCTCCCATCTTCTCCTCTCACGAAGCCCCGCCCGCGGAGAGGTTCCATATTGGGTAAAATCTCGGTTCGCGGAGAGTCCCGGGAGCTGTTCTCGCGAGAGTACCGCGGGAGGCTCCCGTTTGCTGGCTCTGGAACCGGGACCACTGGATCCTCAGCGGGCGCAGCTGGAGCAGAAGTCCTGCGACGCAGCCCGGAGTCGGCCTTGACGGGGCGAAGGTGCAGGGAGATCGCGGCGGGCGCAGCTTTGAGCGCCAGAGCGCGTCCCTGCCCTTAGCGGGGCTTGCCCCAGTAGCAGAGGCGCATCTAGCCGCTGCGGCTGACAGCAGCCGCGCGCGCGGGAGTCTGCGGGGTCGCGGCAGCCGCACCTGCGCGGGCGACCAGCGTGAGATCCCCGCCCGGTTGGGCGGGCAGCAAGGGCCGGGGAGAGGGTGCGGGTGCAGGCGGGGGCCCCACAGGGCCACCTTCTTGCCTGGCGGCTGCCTCTGGAAAATGTCTCAGGAGAGGCCCACGTTCTACCGGCAGGAGCTGAACAAGACAATCTGGGAGGTGCCCGAGCGTTACCAGAACCTGTCTCCAGTGGGCTCCGGCGCCTATGGCTCTGTGTGGTGAGTGTCGCCGGGCCTGGCTGGGGCTGCTGTGGTCAGGGTGGCCCCTCGCGCCCGAGGGCCAGGCCTGCCCCACGGCTCAGCGTTGCGTCAAGTGGCAGGAATTTTCCTCGGGGGAGGGCATTGCTGCCCCTTCGAGCCCTGCCTGTTCTGCACCTCCTGCACCCCTCGCCTTGCACTCGCGAGTATGCTGTCCACCGTGTGCAGCACTCAGGTCCGCTGCGAGAGGTAGGTGGTGGTGGTGAAGCTCTATTCTGGCTAGCACCCTGCGCCTTCCCCTCTCGGAGGGTTGCTGTTCCGCGGCAGGCGCCGGAGAAAGGGCTGCTTCCTTAGGGGTCTCCCTACAGACCTGGAGCAGAAGGACCCTCTCCCGCGATGCGCCCACGCTGGGGCGCCGGAGCCTGTCCTCTGAGCGGACAAGCTCGGGGAGCTCCCGGGAGAAGCAGAAGGGCAGAGCCCAACCCGAAGACTGCGGTCATCTGAACAAAACTGACCAGGAAGGGAGCTCTCTCCGGGCTTTTTTTTTTTTCCTCCTTTTTTTGCAAACCTCTGTCGAAATCCCATCTTGAGAAGCGTTCTTTTTGAATTCGCACTTGAGTTAGCACCGATCCATAGAGCTTAAAATACCGACTTTATCTCAGTGAGCACTGTGCCAGCTTGAGTGGTGTGTTTCCGATTCAGTTGAAAGCGTATTTCCTTTCCGTGGAGGGGCGGCGGTGGTAATGCTTGCAAGAACACTGCAGCTTGAGAAACTGGCAGCCTCACTGATTAGTCACATACCACTGCTCATTTAAGTATTGTTCGACAAAACAATTTTCTCATTTGGAGCAAGAAAGATTCAGATCTGTAAGGTGCCCTCAAGATCAAAAAGTTATTAACAGTGCTGGGAGGTATTGTAAATTTCTTTTTGAGATAATTCCTGCGAATACTGTGGTTTAAAAGTCCCTCAGAGAGTTTGCAGGGAATTATCTACATTTATGGCTTGAGGTACACGGTGGTTTTCGTAAAGATATGGAACCACATAGAAAAGGAAGGGAAGAAATACTTTTTAGCTTTAATTTACACTATGAGTGTGTTTTAAATTAAGTCGATATCATATAATTTCCAGACCTGAAATATTTCACTAACTGCCCTCTAACTTCCAAGGTTTTATACCCTGTATTTTAGATTTTGTATAATTTGAAAGCTACGGATCTGAAACTAAATATCAGATTTAACTGTTAGTTTTTTCTGTGTTTTAGTAATTCGTGTTGTATGCAAGATTTGAAAAGGGGCCTGTAAAATCATTTTTTGTTTTGGAACAAATTCCAGGCTTTTGGATGTGTTAATCTTTAAATATGATTGCTGTGTTTCCTGAAGTCACATCATGAATTTCCTGTTTGGTAGAATCTTCTGGGTAATTGAGATTGTGCAATTGTGTCCAGCAACAGATCATGTTGCATTTTCTAGTTCAGGCTGCTTAAGTTATGTTGTAGAATGCACTGTGCTTGACATCTTTCTCCCATTTTTACAGTATGGCAGTTTACATTTTAAAGGAATTTGCAACATTTTACATTCAGAGAGAGAGAGAGAGAGAGAGAGTGTTTGTGTGTGTGTGTGTGTGTAGTTGATTTACAGCATTTTACATGCAGTATATACATATTATATATATATATATATGCACACACTTGATTTGCTAATTTTTAAAGATGTATTTGGATCATTGCTCCTTTAATATTTTATGGCTCATGAATATCCTTCCATTTTTTTCTTTCTTGAATTGACACATTCATTTCTGTAGTATCACGTTTTTGTTTTCAATGCTATTTAAATTTTAATGGAGTAATACAGCAGAATAAGTCAACTATAGAGGGTTTGGGTAAACTCCAGTTGAATTGCTTGCAAGAGTTCGCTACCGTTGGTGGCTAGCTCTGAACTGGAACAGGAGATCCAGATTTATAGTGAAGTATCATTAAAATTAACTCCACTTTTCTTTAGTGGTAACCTTTTCTGTGGTGTAGAAGCCAGCAGTATCTGACACTTAAAAGTACTTTTATTGAACAGATTTTAAAAAATAGGTAGTACATTGACATTGTATAAAATTTGAAAGCTTTAAAAAGGTATTCAGTGAAAAGCCTCCTTTCCTTTTTGTTCTCCAGCCACTCTACTCTCTCTTTTTTTTTTTTTTGAGACTGAATCTCGCTCTGCCGCCAGGCTGGAGTGCAGTGGCGTGATCTCGGTTCACTGCAACCTCCACCTCCCGGGTTCAGGCAATTCTCCTGCCTCAGCCTCCCGAGTAGCTGGGACTACAGGCGCATGCCACCACGCCCAGCTAAGTTTTGTATTTTTAGTAGAGACGGGGGTTTCACCATGTTGGCCAGGATGGGCTCCATCTCTTGACCTCGTGATCCGCTCGCCTCAGCCTTCCAAAGTGCTGGGATTACAGGTGTGAGCCATCGCGCCTGGCTACTCTCTTTCTTAAAGACAATCACTGTTAAATGCCTTGTGTCTTTCCAGGGAGGCAGAGTTTTATTATTTGCTTGTTTCTTTAGTAGTATTTCTACTAAAGGGATTTAAGATGTAACCTACAGCATATTGGTGAAGGAAAATACAACTGAAATTATATGACGATTGACAATAAACCAATATAACTAATGTTGGAATGAAATATCAGAATTTAGATTTACAAGTAAATGTTATTTTATTCAGAGATTCAGAGTAGTTATTTGAAGTGTTCTTTCCTTTTTTTTTTTTTGAGAAGAAATCTTACACTGTTGCCCAGGCTTGAGTACAGTGGCACTATCTCGGCTCACTAAAACTTCTGCCTCCTGGGTTCAAGTGATTCTCCTGCCTCAGCCTCCTGAGTAGCTGGGGTTACAGATGCCCGCCACCATACCCAGCTAATTTTTGTATTTTTAGTAGAGATAGGGTTCTCAGTGTTGGCCAGGCTGGTCTCAAACTCCTGACCTCAAGTAATCTCCCCTCCTTGGCCTCCCAAAGTGCTGGGAGCCACCATGGAGGCCTGAGCCACTATGCCTGGCCTGGAGTTGTTCTTTCTATGAGTACCTTTTTAGATGTGGCAGAAAACATTTTTTGGAACTTCTTTTAGAATCTACTTTGGAGCCTATGCTACTCTTTTTTGTGTGTGATGGAGTCTCACTCTGTTGCCTAGGTTGGAGTGCAATAGTACCATCTCTGCTCACTGTAATCTCTGCCTCCTGGGTTCAAGTGATTCTCCTGCCTCAGGCTCCCAAGTAGCTGGAATTACAGATGTGCAACACCATGCCGGGCTGATTTTTGTATTTTTAGTAGAGACAGGGTTTCACCATGTTGGCCAGGCTGTTCTTGAACTCCTAACCTCAGGTGATCTGCCTGTCTTGGCCACTCAAAGTGCTGAGATAAGGGGTGAGCCACCGTGTCTGGACCTCCATCTTCATTTTTTGAGAGTAGATTTGATTTTAGGGAATAACAGTCCATTAGAATCCAAATAATTTAGGGAACTTGGACTCAAGTCTGATAAGAAGGATTAGGCAATCATGTTGGTGATACTACTGTTTTAGGTCAGATAGGAGTTATAACTATAAAGTAATGGCACAGAATTTTTTGTGTGACTTCTTGAACTGGACCTGAACTGTACTTCAAAAAAAAAAAATCTCTGAATTTTATTTTATTAATATTTATTTATTCATTTTGTAGAGACAGAGTCTCACCGTGTTGCCCAGGCTGCTCTCAAACTTCTGGCCTCAAGCAGTCCTTCCACCTTGGCCTCCAAAAGTGCTGGGATTATAGGAGTGAGCCACCACACCCAGACCCTGAATTTTATTTTCAAGAATGAAAATAAATGAATAGAATATTTCAATGAATAAAGTAGTCATTGAAATATTTGTCAGCTTCCTAATTTTATTGCTCTAAAGTGTGGTATCCTTTGATGTGTAACATTTACAAATTATTTTAAGCCTATATTATTTTAATTTATACTAAGTATTGTAAAAAAAAAAAAAAAAAAAAAAAACAAGTAGCAGCCTGTGTGATAACCAACTGTGAATCAAAATAGGGTTTTACAAATAAGCCTTTTCTTTAAAGGGTAAAGGGAACTAGACTAGGTCTTGCAGTTTTAAGGAACTTTATGCATTGTCTGTGAGGGGAAATGAAGCAAAATTGTTTAAGAATACGTTGTTACAAAGCATTGATTTTGGGGTTTTGGGACAGAAGGGGAGAATCTTTGTGGTGAGTTTCAGGAAATACAAACAGGAACTTAAGTGCCTTTCCTCTGGGGTATGGTTTTTCCAGGACCTTGCTGTTGATTAGAGAGGAGGTGGGGCACTGGTAACCATAAAATAGGAGGTGAGAGTTGTGAATTACTCTTGGATCATATTCAACTGTTTATTCAACAGTGTTTATTGAATACCAACTATGGGCCAGGTAGCAGGCTAGGTTCTGGAAACAGAGCTAAACAATACAGGAACAAGACAATCCATTCTCTCCCGGAGCTTATAGCCTAGTGGGTTTAATAACTACATTTTATGGGTTGCTTACTATGTTCTAGCATTGTGCTGTGCACTTTATCAGCATAGAAAGTATATAATAAAACCTTTAGTAAAAGAATAGCAAAGTTTACTAAGAAATCAAATCCAACTTCCTAAGTGCTTTGTGGAAAAAGATTATTCTAGTGTAATAAAAATAAGTGAAGCGAACATTTTTTTTTAACTATTAATGGCCATTCACCATTTTAATTCTTTTTTTTTTTTTTTTTTTTTTAGAATGACCCAGGGCATAAATACATAAAATTGCATTATTATTAAGTGTACAACTGTGACTTTCTTGACTCCTGATCAGTGAGAAGGGTATGCCCTTTACTTTTCTAGTAGTGATAGTGTGAGCTTTCCATTCTTTTCTTTGTAACCAAAAAGTAAGGTAGTTGCCTGTATGTTACCAGTGTCAGTCAATAAGAAGTATTTACACATAATTGATGGCAAACATTAGTATTATTGATGAATAAAGATTGTTTTAAGAAAGAGTTCATTCAAAGTTGGCTATAAAAACATTTTATTTATCAAATCCCATTTTCCCACTAACAGTTTTCCACTAGTTTTTTTTTTTTTTTTTTTGAGACGGAGTCTTGCTCTGTCGTCCAGGCTGGATGGAGTACAGTGGTGTGATCTTGGTGGCTCACTGCAACCTCCGTCTCCGGGGTTCAGGTGATTCTCCTGCCTCAACCTCCTGAGTAGCTGGGATTACAGGTGTGCCTCACCACACCTGGCTCATTTTTGTATTTTTAGTAGAAATAGGGTTTCACCCCGTTGGTCAGGCTGATCTTGAACTCCTGACCTCGTGATCCGCCCACCTTGGCCTCCCAAAGTGTTGGGATTACAGGTGTGAGCCACCACACCCAGCCTCCACTGGTTCTTATTTAAAATAAGCTTCTTATCCTGGATCTCCAGGTTTTCAATTCTGCCAGTTTAATTTCTTGATACTGAGGAGTACTCTGCTTTTGATTTCTCTCTAGCCCAGTTTCGGAGATGATCTGTGTTGACTTTGCCTTTAATGGGTAAGAGTGCAGATATTGCTGAGCCCCTGGGGCCTAGAATTCAAAGATGGAAGAACTCACTGGGGTAGATCACCCTCACTTTCGAATTAACTGACATTTTTATAGGATTTTGCAGTTGATAAAGTATTTTCATTCAAAGCACTATTAATCAGTTCTCACTAGCTCCAAGGAGGCTGGTATTTATTAACCCCATTTTATAGATGGGGAGCTGAACTCATTCCTTAAAGGAATGGCATACTTGTCGGTGCTACTTTGGTTTTGGTTCTTGGGTTTCAAAACTTTAGTAGTCTCCTTTTCTATAGATGTGGGCTGCTGAGGTCATGTGGTGGCACCTTCTATGCAGTTTGCCTCCTCTTGTGAAAAAGGGGTTGCTGAGTCACTTGGAATAGAGCTGTGAGTTTAGGAAAGCAATCCCACTAGTATCATTGCCCAGCTTATGTGAGGGGTAATGACTTAACCCATTAAAGTCATGTCTCTTCCTCCGAATTGATAAACCAAAAATGTACTCATTGCCCAGATTAAAATTTTTTGCTGAAGGAATTATTAGGCAGTGCACATAGTTAATTCCTGAATTTATGAATCCTATTGGATTATAATTCTTCAGTGTACATTTATGTAAAGTTGGGACTGTCTGTACATGTTTGTGTTATATAAGTATAGGACATAAACAGAAATAACTACCTCTCCAGCCCTTTGAAAATACATTAGATTTTGCTTTTTGCAGTAAAATTTGGTGTAAAACTGATTTGTTCTTATCTAAGAGGTATAATTATTGCAGTGCTCAGAAAAGCCTCATTATAAAGTGGTCTCCCCTGACTTGGAACCTAGTGATTTCTCCTCACGGAACCTAGGGACTTCTTCATCTTGCTATGGAAGGCATTCACCTGTTTCATCAGGAAAATAACCAAAAACCTCTTTAAACTTGGAAATGTTTTTTGTAAAAGAAACTTTCAGTATTAGGAGTAGTTTGTCTTTCACAGTGCTCCCATAAATTAAGTACAGGCACAACTCATTTTATTGTGTTTCACAGATAATTGCTTTTTTTTTTTTTTT